CATAGGAGCAGCCATAGCCAAATGAGCCCTTCGTCGATGCCTTCTGGCTTTGCATGTGATTGGAAACCTGACAGGGGCCGCTGTAGCCCTTGCTGATTGTCTTGCCCTTGCCCCTGCCGCCATTGGCCTTGCCCATCATTTTGCCCTTGATGGCACTCTGCCTTTGACTCTGGCTGAACTCCTCTGCTGAGCGCTGCCAGCACATCATAATCTTTCTGAAATCTGAAATGAGGCGGCGCCAAATGGTCTTGAACTCATGACTTCTTTGTTCAGCATCAAAGTCATTGGCATGTGTTTGATCCCAGCCACCATACCGAAGATGTGCAGTGCCAAACGGTCCACAATTCGCCAAATACTGATACCAGTCCCATGGCTCAAAATTCCGAGGTCTGTCATCTGCATTCATAGAGATGACAATGTCAGGCTTGACCCGGAGCTGGTCATATCGGATCGGGCAACCAATACTGCCAACAAACAGTTGCCACTGGGGATGGTCGTAAATCAAAACATCATCCATGGGCCACGTCTCGACATCATGCTGGCATGGCCGAGGTGGCGGGATCGACCCAGGCAGCACATCTGTCTGGCCGGTCCATGCTTTGTACAACTTCATATCCATATCTCCGAAATCTGAGATGGCCTCAACTGCCAATTTGATTCGTTGATCCAATTGTGCAGCCCTTTGGATCTTTCGGAGCCCGGTGGTATAGTCGGCAGCTGATCTGCCACAGTGTAAACAATTCCACCGAAGTTGTTGCACGGCTTCGTTCCAGTAATCACTGCCAAGGTCAATGTGATTGGCCTGATTCTGATGGTCAGCAGCAGAAGTCTGGCACTCTGCCTCGGAACTCCCTGAGCACCTTGAAACGGTCGTCGGCATCACTGCTTTCATCGAGCACCCAATTGTCCAACGATTAAAACATTAACAGTGACTAATGCATCACTATACAGTACATTAACCAATGATATGTAACATTGTGTTACTACTGTTACATCAGTATGAATGAATCACTTGATTATCTGGCCGGCAGATGTCGATCATGTATGGTGCAAGGCAACTCACTGACAGACTATGCAGGCAGGCAGGCAGGCAGCCAGCCTCGGAGACAGCAGGGTCCTGAGGACGTCACTGCCACCCGGCACTGTGTAGTCAGCATGTCATGCTGGGTAACCTTTTGGAATCCAAGTTGCGCACACTACCGCTGAGGTCTCCAATCGGACAGTCTAGCTCTGCTGGCTAGATCGTCGAATTCAAAATCCTCTAAGCACACGCAAACCCGGCACTCTGCCTTCCCCAACATCCGTAATGCGGTCTCGGAGGCTGTACAAACACGATGAATCACTGATTCATCATTGACGACAGAGCTTCGTCTCGCACGTCATTGTAATATAAAATTCCTGGCACTCTGCCTTCACTGTAATCCTGCATAAATCTCGGAAAGAGTACGTGCAGGATCATATCATTGATATGCCAGTCTACTTGCAAGACATGCCCACGCTCTTCAGAATTCAGAAAGAACCACAATGTCGAAAAGGACTCCTCTAGCAGCGCGTCGAAATAAATCACATAATCATCGTAGTCACTGTCCATGATCGAGGCCACAGTGCTTGCACGCTCATCGGCAACCAGAATCCAGTCCGAGTCCAGAGACTCACTGTCACTGCACGACATCGACGACATCTGCCGGCTTGCAGGGGGGCCTACTACGACTTAGACTAGAGACAGAGCAGGTCGTCGGCATCACTGCTTTCATCGAGCACACAATTGTCCAACGATTAAAACATTAACAGTGACTAATGCATCACTATATAGTACATTAATCAATGATATGTAACATTTTGTTACTACTGTTACATCAGTATGCATGAATCGCTTGATTCTCTGGCCGGCAGATGTCGATCATGTATGGTGCAAGTCAACTCACTGACAGACTATGCAGGCAGGCAGCCAGCCTCGGAGACAGCAGGGTCCTGAGGACATCACTGCCACCCGGCACTGTGTAGTCAGCATGTCATGCTGGGTAACCGTTTTGAATCCAAGTTGCGCACACTACCGCTGAGGTCTCAAATCGGACAGTCTAGCTCTGCTGGCTAGATCGTCGAATTCAAAATCCCCTAAACACACGCAAACCCGGCACTCTGCCTTCCCCAAGATCCGTGATACTGTCGCGGAGGCTGTACAAACACGACAAATCATTGATTCAGTGACGACAGCCATTCGTCTGTCACATTGAAATATAAAATTCCTGGCACTCTGCCTTGCCTAAAATCCCGCAAAAGTCTCGGAAACAGTACGAACATGATCTGTTCATTGATATGGAAGGCTGCTCGAAAGACTTGCCCACGCTCTTTAGAATCCAGAAACATCCACAATGTCGAAAAGGACTCCTCTAGCATCTCGTCGAACGGAATCACATAATCATCGTCGTCAGCACTGTCCGCGACCGAGCCCGCAGTACTTGCACCCTCATCGTCAACCAGAACCCAGTCCGAGCCCACAGACTCACTGTCACTCCACGACATCGACGACATCTGCCGGCTTGCAGGGGGGCCTACTACGACTTAGACTAGAGACAGAGCAGCTGTAACACGACTATAGTAGATTACGCAGGGCAACAGCGAGCACAACTGCTGCAGCGGCAAGTTGCGATACATGACACGCTCACTGACTATGCAAGGCAGCTTGTCCTCTGCGATGGCAGCATGTCCTCAGGATCCTCGTCATGAGCCTCGGTGCCAGGACTGTACCATAATAATGGAAGTAGCTGAAGCAAGCTGATGCTGAGATCCCAGCAGTTGGCATCCACTTCTCGATGGGCTGGAAGCCGATGAAGACCGATGGGAGAGAAGGAAATGGAAGAGAAGGCGTTCACTAGGCTTGGATTCAAACCGAACACTTAGACCTGGCCAACGGTGTGGGGAGCAACCCCGATGGGGCAGGGACTTAAGTAAGGCAACCTCGAGAGGCTCGACTGGCACTCTGCCTCTGTCGATCCAAGTCGCAAGGCTCCCTAACTAACGTGACAAGCATGGATGGCCTCCCCTCCTGGTTGGGAGAAAAATAAAAAAGCCACAACCACTGGACCACCCCACCCGGCACTTTAGCCCATGTGCCCGGGTGTCATATGCCACTGCCCTGGCACGTTGGCCCCAAGGCGGTCCAGGTACCATCGACAACACCTGACACCCGGCCAACGGTGTCCACGAACCGAGATGGGCAGTCGATCCGTGTGGGTAAGGTGGCACTCTGCCTCTGTCGATCCAAGTCGCAAGGCTCCCTAACTAACGTGACAAGCATGGATGGCCTCCCCTTCAAGGCTGTAAGCACGGCTGCGAACAACCCCTCAACCGCCCCACCCGGCACTTTAGCCCATTTGTCCGGGTGTCATATGCCACTGCCCTGGCACGTTGGCCCCAAGGCGGTCTAGATACAATCGCCTCATAACCTGACACCCGGCCAACGGTGCCCACGAACCGAGAAGGGCAGTCGATCCGTGTGGGTAAGGGCAAGATCTCAAGGCAAGTCAACATGTCACTACGGCCTCCCTTCTTTGTTCAATCACAACCCAAAACTATTTAAAAAGATTAAATATTAAAAATTATTAACTTCAACAACAAATAAACAACAATTTTGTAGACATACAGCAGCAGGAAACCAGGTAGAACAACAGGAAGCCAATTGACTCACTCAGAAACAAAATTCACAAACATGTATTTTTTACACCAAAAATAAAATAAAAGAATTTTAACAACTGTAAAACACAAAAAAACCTATTTAAAAAACTTTTAAATACAAAACAATACTTTTAAATACAAAAAAACACTTTTAAACACAAATAAAGCCAACCACATACAAAAATGAGATTTTGGGTTCCTTTCATATAAGCCTTGTTGATCTAAACCCTGTGGTTCTGGTTCGGCGCAAAGGGTTAAGGATTCTTACTTGCTTGCCGTTGCTTGCCTGTCTTCTTCCACACACCTTGCTTAGCTTGGCCTGTCGCACTGTCAGCAACAGGCATTTTCCTGTGCCACAGCTCGATCAACCACATAAGTAATGCAAGCCTGCAGTTTTCATCTTGTTGCAAAAGCTGTGTGCATACCTGTGAATACATTATATGTATACCTGTGTAGGTGTATATATAGGTATATACAGATATATAGAAAAAAGATATATAGATAATATATAGAAAAAAGATACATAGATATGTAGATATCCAAGTATACAGATATATAGCTGCATAGATAAGTCTGTATATAGATATGTACATGTATATGTACAGATAGATAGATAATGTAAATATTAACCTATAAATCTTCCGATCTAAAGATATATATATATAAAGGAACAAAAATATCTAGATACCGAGACATCTACATATCTGGCTATCTAGATACAGATGCAGATATACATATATAGATAGATAGCTGAATTGATAGGTATATAGATGTACAAATACGTAGACATGCAGATACATTTAGAGAGAGAGGGAAACGGAGAGAAATGGAGATATGTGTGTATATGTGTATACATATATATATATATATATATATATATATATATATAAAGAGATATAGGTGTATAGATATATGGATATACTGATATATAGGTACATAGGTACCTAGATATGTAGGTATATGGGCACATAGGTATATAGGTCTATAGGTATATAGGTATAGAGAGATATAGAAATATAGATATATCGATATGTAGATATACAGATATACAGATATATAGAGGTTAGATATAGATATAGATATAGATATATAAAGGTATATATATGTATATATATATATATAGAGAGAGAGAGTTATATAGATATGCAGATATACAGATGTATAGTTAATAGGTAGATGCATATATGTATATAGATATGTAGGTGTGTATATATATGTAGATAAATAGATGTAAAGGCGTATAGATAAAACCCGACCAAATCCCGTTTTTGAATCTGGGATGTCACCCATCGATTGGATCTTGGATCTCGAATCTGGGGGCCATCCTATCTTGATTGCGTTGCCGTGGAAACAGAATTTGCGACTCCGTCTTCGGCTCTGGTGCTCTCGAGATCGACAGCCTGCGGTCTAAACGGCGCGGTTCGCCTGGACATTCTTGGCCTTGCCTTCGTTGCCCTTGCTTGGAGCTGAGGTCTCGACACGATCTGCGTTGCCGAAAGGAGTTGTGGAAAGTGCAGCAGTAGGTATTTCAGCATCCTTGGTTCAACGGAGCTACCCGAAGGAGAGAGTGGAACTTAGGATGTCATGGCGATTCCTTGCCGACCCTAAGACCTTTTAAGATGCAGCCGAGGTTCAAGACGTTGAAGAGGAAAAGCGTAATCACGATAATGGCCTCGTTCGTGTGATTGCCGCCGTGCTTTTAGGATGCAATCAATCAATAGCGTCAGCATCCCAAGAGCCACACCAGACGACTACGATCCATCTTGATCCGCAGCCACAAATAATCCTTGGTCGACATAGCTCCCCTGTGCCTGGGCCTAGGCTGTCTGGCCTCAGTCGCCTAGGATGACCCGATATGGGTTCTCCAGTATCGACGTGCATGGACCATGTCGCGCTAACAGGGAACCTATTAACAGGCTCCTGTCAAAAGCCTTCGCACATTGCCGTCGCTCATACTTTTGCGAGTGGAGAAAAAACAATGCTGAGACACAGGCTTCCGGCCAAAAGTTGCACTTTGCGAAAGGTCGTTGGTCGCAATAAGCGGCGTCTCGCAAAAACTTGTAATTCGCGAGAAGCGGCTTCTCACACGCATCGAGTTCTCGTAAAGAGATGCTTGCGACAAGCATCGATGTTCACCACACTGCTTCTCGCCAAAAGTTGCGATTCGCACAGGATCTGGCAAAAGCTTGCATTCCTCAGAAGGCTCCTGACCCAGCCAAGGAAAAGTTGGACACAGCAAATAGCATGGATCTTCGAACCATATGGAAAGACAAAAGACTTTGTTTGTGAAAAGAAAAGGCAAGGCGAAGTTTTGCACCAACGCACCGAAAGTAGCCGCATGCTGGATCACGAAAGGTTTGCGATTCAAACACGCCGGAATCTGTGCTGAGACATGCTGAAACCACAGTGATTCTGAAAGCAGCCCACCCCCCAGAGAAAAGAAAACCCGTGCCAAAACACGCACTTCCGAAGCGGGACGACAGACAGACAGGGGCAGAAGAGGCGAATGTAGACGAAAGCGCCCAGCAAAGCACTCCAAACCTCCGAATGTGCTGCTCCTACTTCCCTCATTCCCTAACAGCCTCACATGCCCCGACCCTATGCACGCAGGAAGTACGAGGCCTTTTGCTGCGGCGACCATCGCGGCTGACTCGAACAACCACTGTTTGCGCTCACGCGCCCACACACACACACACGCACGCCAGGCATAATCGAAGGATGCTAATGCCACGCCAACTGCTCCTGCTACAACGGAATGGAGGCCAGCGTCGTAAAGATCTTCATCGGACGTCTGCCCCGCCTGCATGACCCAATCCCCGCTTTTGAGCTGCTTCTTGTGAGCTTTTGTAGTGCCAGCCTGCAGGAGATTGCCTGTGAACAAATCCTGCACGACCATGAGGCAAGTGATCGCAAAGATCAAGGCTGGCAGCAACCTCGCTGTCCCGCGTGTGCAAGTTGCAAACGACACCACAGCCGACATGCACGAACAAAATTCGTGGGTGTTGCTGTGGGTCTAACAGGAAAAGCAGTGTCCACACCGAGCATTTCGTCCTGTCCTCAGCACACACTCTCAACAGGAAGTATCAGCTCCACTCAATTTCAAGACTTGGTCCCTCGTCGCTGTGCCTCCTCAAAGGTGCAGGATGCGGGGCAGTGAAGGATCCTTTGGTTCCGACGTGGAGGTTCTTCATTCAACTTCAACACCATCACATGCGGCCTTCTGATCTCCATGAAGAGCAACAGGAGCGCAAGCACTGAAACCAGCGCGAGGTACACATGATTCTCTGTGGGTTCCTTGCAGCACAATCTCAACATGCAAGCTCTCACTCCGAACTCCTACTTTTCTGCACCAACTTCATTGACAAAGGTCCGGATCGAGCTGGAAAACGTCTTTGTGAATCGTCGGAACTAAGCCTCCATGCAACAAAACATTCACATCAAATGTGGGTAGTCTGTTTGCACGTTGCACACGGTCGCACAGCTTATCCAGCAACATGCACTGCAGACATGCTTGTAAACACAACATTGTCAACACAATCATGGACCTCCTGAAAGGCTGTTCTCCACCAGGAAGTGAAAGATGAAAATCGCATTCGGCGTCGCCCTGTGCTTTGAAGCATCCCACACAAACTTCCGATTGCACAAGATCTCTGCCACCCTAACCAAGAGAAAGAGACAACAAAACAAAGAACATGGTAGATACTGTGCATTATTGCGCAGCCACAACAACAATGTCCGGATGTCGAGATAACCAAGCTTTAAAACCACCGAATAACTTGCCTGAAACCTCGAACTGGCCTCAAGCACTATGGCTTGGCCTGGTTGCCACGACACTTGTTGCAAGTACACTGTGAAGGAGCATTTGTCATTGCATCAGAATGTGCACAGGCCCTCGTCGTTGTGCTGGCGACCAATGCACAAGTCCAGCAAGGTTCCTGCCTCGAAACGTCATTTCACAACAAGCATGCACAAAGCCGCTGTTTGCGCTTTTGCACTGCTTTTGCTAAGCTTGGCGTGCAGGTAACCGGAACATGCTCATACGGAAGAATTATAAGGCTGCTGATGCAAGATTGAAGCCAAGATCAGAACTGTTCATCGCCCGGCCAAGCCGGGGCGGATTTTCCGCGCCCGGCCGAGCAAACCAATCGTTCGCAGTTCTGGTGGCATGCACGCCCCGCAAGATTTGGGGAACGATCGAGATCGATCGAGTTTGGCTCAGCTGCACCATTCAACCAAACATCGGCCGGCATATACTCCGGCTTTGCCCATTGTAAAGCCAAAAGTGCATCCACCATAACAGGATGTCACCTTTACTAAGCTTCATTCTTTGGCGCACTCTCCGAGCTCAGACAAGAGGTGGGCCATCCGCGAAGCGGTGGCCAACCTCTTATCGAAGCGCTGGCCCATTTGTATCTTCAAAAATGTTCAAGCACGTTCGCTGTAGCAACAATACGTTCAGCCAACAACAAAGCTCCTTATCCCCATGGTTGTTCTGAAAGCGCTGCGATCGGCCACCGCAAGGAACAGTGGCTGCATCTTGGAAACACGTCATTCTGCCGGAAGCGCTGAATGCTCGGAGGTGCGATGTTCCTAGGAAGTACGTCAAGTTCTTCTGGCGACATCGATCTCACCACCGAAGGGGCCGAGGCCCAGAAACACACAGCTCACGGCCGACTGTCCAAACTTATCGAAAGCCGCGGTCTGGGAGCAGGAAACAAACATTGTTCTGGGTGCGGGGCTTAGGGGGCGATTTTGATGATGGTGATGCTGCTGGTGATGATGGTGATGGTGATGGTGATGGTGATGGTGATGCTGGTGATGATATTGGTGAGGTGATGGAAATGGAGATGGAGATGGAGATGGAGACGGAGATGGTGATGGCGATGGTGATGATGATGATTTGCTCCACGGTCGCCCGGCGCACAAACGTAACCTCGACTCTAAAAGCCGCTTGTCATTGTCTGCACAGGGCTTTCAGCTAGCACCATATCGTTACGCCGTACCAACACGGGTTTGGAAGGACAAACTCTGAAGCACTCGGTTTCCAGGATGTTGCACTCAGTGGAGACCTGATTTGCCGCGGTTGTTCTGGCATTACCAACCCTCGGTTGGGGACTCGGCATGAACAATTCCAACCACCTGTGATCATTCATCGTTTGCTGGAAGCTCTCGTAAAAGTCAGATGAACAAACCGTGCAGCAACGAGTGCTGAAATGTTGACGTCGACGAAGGGCCCAGATTTAACAGGTGGTCAACATATCGCAAAGATGGAAACGAAATCAAGGAATGGCTTGAGGAGAAATCTACGGCAGAGCCTCAGTTTCGGGTTCTTGTCTTTCAATTTGCAAATGACCGCGCCGGTCACCGGATCCATCAGCAGAGCTCGGAGACGCCCGTTTCGCGGCTGGCAGCGTAAGTTGAATGTCTGTAGCTAGGGGTCTCTTCTCTGCTCTTTGCAACTCACATTGATTCGGTGACGCAGCAGACCCGGAAATCTGTCCTACATGATTTGAGCAACTTGCTCCACCAACGGTTGCCTGAACTTGGTGCCGTCATTGCATTACTCCAGAGGAAAATACAATACAAACTGGAGCAAATTGCATCCCATTTTTTGATGCGGCGGGGTTTTGGTGGTGATGAACACAGCTTCGGAAACTTGCCAAACCCTTCGTGAACTCGCAAGCGAATCTGGAGTGACAATCGTTGGTCCCAAAGCAGCATCTGGAGCCAGACGAGCTCGAGTTGGAGCAGGTGGCACAGCAACGAGGGCAGCATTGCAGCACACACACTGCTTAGTTCCTCAATGCCAGTTTCCAGTCATTGTGTTCAAGACAATGAACATGATTATGATGCAAGATGTTGAATCTGGTAGCTGGTGGGATGTGTCACGGTTTCGTTCGATGCACACCATGGGCTTTGAATGCCGGTGTAGCAGCGAAAGATGTCACCGGCAATGCGTTGGACGAACGCTTGTGTCAGTGCTTGTCTGCCGGAGAGGGCCAGCTCAATGTGTTTTATTCGCAATGCCTGAAACGACGGCTATACTAGATTTGTTTGGCTGCAGAATGATAAGCGGACCTGAATTGAGCGAATGGCTTGTCTTAACATGACCTGTTTCCAAGCCTAGGGTCTGTGTTCGAAGGGGCAAAACGTGATCACAAAGATCGCACCCTGCCGTAAGACAACGGTTAATAACGGTAACTGGCACGATGGCGAACCCAGTGCAGGTACCTCGGTAGGTGCCTGCAGACAGGAGCCCCGCAACTACGTCCATCCGCAGCCATAACGACAACTAACATCAGGATGCTTGGATAAAGCCGAGCAAGCTCTATGAAAAGAGCCTTTCCAGCTGGCCTCAAGCGCCGTAATTCTCGTACTGGCTCGGCTTCCCAGGTGTGTGGTTTAGCCTGGTTGCCATGACATTGTGTTGCAGGTACACAGTGAAGCGTCCTTCACCGCGCATGTGCAATGGCCCTCTTCGCTGGTCCTGCGACCGACGCACGTGTCCAGCCGGAGTCCAGCCCAACTGATGACTCCAAACCAAAAGGGACAAGGTGCGAAACACACACTGACAGACACACAAACAAATGCAAGCACGGAGTTCTTGAAGGGCTTTCATTTTGTCCAAATGGGTAGTTGTTAAAATTATGATTTTTGAGGTACCCTAAATATTAGGTGCCGTATTATATTAGGACCCAAAAAAAGACCATAATTTTGACAACCACTCAAACAGGTAGGTACACAAGTTCTACATAGGATGACGCCAGTGACAGTGGCCAGTGTATTTCTTTCTCCGAAATTCCATGGCTTCAGATATCCTGCTAAGGATTTAAAGCCTCGCTCCTCGAGGAAAACGGACCTGTCAAGGCTCCAGCTGCAAACGAAACTGCTCCGAAGGCAACGAAACTAGCATTCCCCAATACCTGAAAATTAAATCTCCCCCTCCCTCCCTCCCTCACTCAGCTAGCTGCTAGCTGTATTCATCATTTATCTGGTGGCGGTGTTGGAGGACATTCTCTCTCTCTCTCTCTCTCTCTCTCCCGATCTAGGCTGGGCCCTCGGCCCGTAGACGACAATCGTCAGCTGCTGTGCCGATCCCTGGAAGGTGAAGGGCTCGCTGGGGCCTTGCGACTTTGTCACAGCACAAACGCTTTGGGACTTTTGTTTGCCAACAGCTCCAGTCGAAACTTACGGTCAGGGGTGTTCGGATCTGTGAAATTGCTGGGGCCTTTCAGTAGAAGGCCAACACTTTTCAAAACTGAGGGGTCAGCTGGCAGTCAAAGTCTCCAAAGATGCCAGAAAGGCCTCAGTCTCTGCAGAAATATCATGCACTCCTCTCACGAGCATGCTCGTTGGGGCCTCAGTGCCGTTGGTGACATCGAGGTATGACCGTTCGCCATCGAAGTAGGTGCCAATCTAGCACACAAGATTTGTCCAAAAGCTCCTTTGTGAGAGCCAGAAGAAAAGGGCTGGCCTTACCCTGAGCAAAGGAAAAGACCTGCGAATGAGTGAGCGAAGCCAGGTAAGCCTCAGCTGCGAGATTTGCAGTCTGAAGCAGTGAGTACTGAGTACAGCTCGGCAACATTTCAAACGCGAAGCACGGCACAGCGCACACTTTGCACCAGCAACGAAAAATGGCGTAGCCATCCGCCACGCACCACCCTGACCCTGTTTCTGGGCGCACGTCGCCTATGTTGCGTCTGGGCATCACGTGAGGCTGCGAACTCGATGTTTTCCCAGCGTGTGCTTCGTCAGACTAGCAGAGGTGTGATTAGCGGCCAAACGCACAGGTGTGTCGAACCGAAAGCACATATCATTAGCAGCGGTAGCTTGTCCATTGGAATGAATTCAACTCAACTCCCTGCAAGAGCTCTTCGAAGCAGATTCCTGCTGAGAACCCGCGGCATTCCTGAATCGCGCCTATTTGAGGATCTTTTCCGGTGTCCCCAACCAGACTGGGCGACCGTACTCCAGGGACGTTGATGTCATAGATGGGCGAACAAGCAGGCACCTCCAATCATCTGCAAGCCATCAGTCTGTCAGCGGTTGATTTCAGCTCCAAAGCTTGCCTCATGACCCAGCTCTTGTCCTTTTCCAAGGATGTGCATGGCGCGAAGATTTGGACAGGACCTTGCTCTCAGTGAGCCGCAAACCTCAGGAACCTTGAGAAGCTGAGGCTTCCGCCTGAACTGCTCTGGAATGCAAGAAATATCTGAAGCAGTCGCAGGGCAATTTTGCTACACGGCTACACATGAAGCCTATGGACAAATGCGGCATCAAGTTGGCATCTTCACCACAGCGGTCCTGCTGGGCTGACCACGACTGGGTTGGGTATGGAGACACTCGTGCCTGACAGAGAAAACCCTCTTGTCAGGGCTCACGAACAACAAACTCAGGCATGAGCTAGTTGTGGTTGTCGTCGCAGTGTTTTGTACAGCCTTAATGGCAGGTCGCAGCACGCACATGAGAAACCTGTTGTTCAAGACTTTTTGTGGACCCATTGAAAGCGTCCTTCTAACGCGGCCGACTCAAAGTGGCGGTGGCGGCACCACTACCACCACCACCTCCGCCACCACCATCACAACCACCACTGCTGCCAGCACCACCAATGCGTCCACCATCACCACAACCACCATTGCCGCCAGCACCACCGCCCCAACCACCACGCCGCCGCGCCATCACGGCCACCATGGTGGTGCTGGCGCTGCTGCTGGTGCGCCTCCGGCCCGACAGCTTGATGAGTGATTTGCACTTAAGCCTGCGAAACCAGAAGGAGATACCTGCTCGGACCGGAGATCAAGCACGAAGCAAACCACATGCACCACCACCCTTCGTCGTGACTGCGTCCGCCCCCGCTGCTGGCGCTTCCAAATGCAAAGCGTGACAAAACCGGGTGAAAGCCGCTGAAGCCGGCCATGCACACACGCTGAGACATGCACACATACAACACATACCCTTAGCCTTGCAAAGCAAAAGAGATCAGCCATGTCGCTGTCGAAGTTCGGGTTGAGGTCTGCGTTGATGTCACAGTGGCTGAGACCTTGTACGCACATACAAGAAACTAGATGGTTCATGATGTTTCGGGACAACTCTCGCACACAGCAGCTGCTGCCCTTCTGCAAGCCATGCAGAATGCAAATCAAAGTGGAAAGCAGGTCTGAAACTCGCGGCAAACGGCTGTAAAGATTCTGGTGGAAGATGTTTGTGTTGACGTTGACGTCGCTGACACCTTGCGCAAAATCTGATACTGCCAAGTCCATAATAACCTACGCCTGATTCAATGCTCAACGATGCTATAATGTGTTGCCGCGGACAACCAGCAAGTTAAATGTTGTGTCGGCAAGCTAAATCTGTGGCTGATTGTTCTGGAGTCTGGTACGCCATGGCGGTGCGTACTTGCGTGAACAAACTTACTTTTTCTCGAGTAACGAGTAAAGAGAGGTTGGCCTCGAAAAATACACACCACCAAGAGGAAGCATTCCCATATCATCTTATGATCATCTATTTTAATGGCTTTGGAGGCACGGCGTCGTTTACCCAGCATCATCTTTCGAGGTTTTGGGTCAAAGGCCAAACATATCCTATGAAAAAATTGATCTCCCTATAACCTGGCGTCCGCCTTTAGGACCCATGTTTTCCGAACCAATCACTCTTTTCGATTATAGGGGTTCGGGATGTCCAGCCATCAGTACCTCCCATTCCTGTCTTCTAACCACTCACTTCTTCGAGGGTCTTGGTTGTAGTAGTAGTAGTAGTAGTAGTAGTAGTAGTAGTAGTGGTAGTAGTAGTAGTAGTAGTAGTAGTAGTAGTACTAGTACTAGTACTAGTACTAGGACTAGGACTACTACTAGTACTAGTACTAGTACTAGTACTAGTACTAGTACTAGTACTAGTACTAGTACTAGTACTAGTACTAGTACTAGTACTAGTAGTAGTAGTAGTAGTAGTAGTAGTAGTAGTAGTAGTAGTAGTAGTAGTAGTAGTTGTAGTAGTAGCAGTAGTAGTAGTAGTAGTAGTAGTAGTTGTAGTAGTAGTTGTTGTTGTTGTAGTAACAGAAATAAACAGCAGTAATAGTGGTAAGAGAAGTGGTTGCAACGGATCAAAATACATGAATGTATTGTATTGGTATTTGAGGAGGCAGCATATATATCATTGAGAGTTTTTAAATTCAGAAGTTATTGCCGGATGCTTCAGACTTGCTTTCGTATTGCGGAGGGATAAGGGGTGCCAAGGTATGCACTTTCGGTTTTGTGGGAGTAAAGGTCCTTGTTGGTCATTCGGGATCTATAAGAAAGCAGCGCAAGCACAAATACACTTCACTACAGGGCGATTTTCCTTTGGCCCCTTCGATACCCGCACAGGAGCCAGGCTTGGGACCTGGAGCCCGAAAACTACCGGAGGGATCCTGCCAGTCCAGGCGAAACGCATGCAGAGTTGAGCAGTCCCCACGCAATCTGCTAAGCTCGCAAAAGCAAACCGCCGCGGCATACTACAAGTTGTCTGATTACGAAAAAGAACAGCACTAAATTCTGGACAAGAGTCTGTGAACGTTGAGGATGACTGTGTTGATGTGGATGTTGATGTCGCTGTCACCTCGGACCGAATCACGGAAGGACTATGTAGCAACTTGCCTCGAAGCGACTTCCGAAGCAAGGCTGCATTCGCCGGTCCACAAATGCACACCACAAAACCTTTGCATGGGGGAGGTGACGAAACATGTCGGACAGGCAGCTGTGAAAGCCGATGGTGTTTGCGTTGAAGTCGATGTCGCCTTGTACCATATACAACCAGCAGCATCGCTAAATCTCAACATGACCTTTCTCACTTGGGGGAGTCTACGAAACCTGCGCAGCGCTACGGATTTTGGAAGTTTGCACTTCCCGTGCAATGGCTTGCGCCGCCTACAGTGTTGAGTCTCAAAAGGATTTTAGAATGATGAATACTATTTCATGTCTCTTGACTTACTCAAATGGTCAGTTTTTCACCACGTGTCCATCGCGGCACAATGCTGAAAGACGGTGAGAAATAACAACCGCAAACTGACAAAGACAAACTTCCCGAGCCTCTCGTCAACCGAAAACTGTCAGGATTCTCACCCGGACTTTCCCTGGCTTATGCGAAAAACAGTTTCTGACAGAAAGTTGATAGGACTCGCGCGCCCGCTTGCGTTTGTGCATCGGTTCGTGTGGACTTTGCAGCAACCATATTAATATTAAGCTTTCCGCCCTCCAAGACCCCTGCGACAGATGCCCGCTGACGCTTCGCCCGATCTGGCCTCAAGCCTATAGCCCACAGACATCCCAGACCCCCGCGCCTTCAAACAAGAACCCTTCGCCGTGCATCCTGGAAATCATAATGGACTGATAACGAACGAATATGTAAATCAAAATACCCTGAGGCTGTTCTAACATTTCGAAAACCTCAAATTGAGCCCGTTCTTTCCGGGCCAGTTTCCGCCAAATGACCGCGAAATCACGGAGCATGGAACAACTGACAACAACAGGATCAACAGGATCAACAGATCAATGACAACGGTATAGAATTAAGCATAGCAAACTTCTACCAGATAACAAGATGCAGACACGACGCTCAGTGAAGATGAACCAACGCATAAACAGCAAACGATGACCCAGATGGACAAATGACAAGGTGACCACAATCTGTCCGTAACAGAATCTCATGCCAAGTGGCCCCCGTCGATTCTGGCAGCGTCGCGTTGCCTGAAAACGGAATCGACAAGGTACAGTTGACCGATTCCAAGAGACTAATGTAAACTGACTGACTCTGGCGGTTGCTGCGACTATCCGCTAAATACGTGAGACATTGCATCATCACCTACTGAAGAACTCCTGCATGCAACCAAACTCCTCGCAGCCTTTCTCAAAAAACAGCACCGTGCGGTAAGCTGGCTACAGGCAGGTTGCTTGCGTTCGATGTGTTCGAAGCAGCTGTCCCGTCACAGAACCTGCATGCTGGTGAAGCTTAGACATCCCAGTCCCATATGGTTGCCGTGAGGTCGGTGCGTGTATGTGGGAAACAGTGGCGAAGTTCCACTGGAGGCCTGCAAAGATCCAAACGACATGACCAGCACAGTCAACACATCAACGTAAACAAAGAGAAAACGTGCTACCTCAAGAGATGTCCCCACATACTGCCTGGGCCACAAAACGCGTTGTTAAAGTCCTCCTGAGGTAGAGGTACGTGCAGCAGCAGATGTGCACACGGCAAGGACTCAAGCATGCACACACAACATGTAGCCCCGTAGCCCCTGATTCTTACCCCTGCAAAATGTCACAGCAACTGGTGAACTGGCTTCTGACTGGGTGTGTAATCCCCCTGGATCAAGCTGTGCTCGGCCAGAGAATTCATGAGCCATGAGTCAGAATGTCGATTTGCATGGAAGATGCCAATGACCTGAGATGTGCGGCCAGTGTGCACTCGTCTCGCCCGAGCCCATGAGGCTCCAGCGTTCCATCTAACAAAGTGCGCTGGACCGGCCCTGTGAGCCATTGCCAGTACCTGCGGCAAATGGACAATTGAGATATGAGCACACAGACACGTCCCAGGGCACTGCTGCGCAGTTACGATGTCATAGAATGTCGGAGACCTTCACACAACGAGAAACTAACGAGCAGCTTCTCCATCAGACTCAAGATCTTGTCACATGTCTTCTGAGCCCCTCACGTGGGAACAAAAGCTGAAGAGTTGTCGGATTCCTGGGACTGGCATCATGTCAGCCTAGCTATTGTCTCATTGCAGGTGATACATGCATGCTGCATAACCGTGCGAAACCGACCGCCCTGCGTCAACCACTGCCACAGCTTTACGGCATTACACCGAACTTTACACCACGACGAGCTGCCCCTGTTTTGGTCGAAAAACGATATGCGCCCGGCCGGGCACGCTGCCCCGAAAGCGATGCAGTGCCGCTACGTTGGTCGAAGCACGATATGCGCCCGGCCGGGCACCCCCCACCGAAAGCCGGTCGCACTTCTGCCCGCCCGGCACCCCTGCCGGGAATCAGCACCAGTGCCATCCAAGGGATCACTGTGCGGGAGGCACCATCATCTGCGGGCAGTGTTTGTGACCGAGAATCTCGAGGCGGGCAGCGGCCCAAAAAGTCCGAGCCGTCCACAACCGCCTCGGCTGCCGGTGTCGGAGTAGAAGCCGCGGCGCTCCTTCTTCGGTGAGCTGACATCAGCCAGTTCGTCGCCGCGGCCGGCCTGGACTTCGCGCAACTACCTTGGAAGGAGCTGGGGCGGCACTGGCCGGAGCCACATGCTCACGTGACGGGGGTGGTGGCAGCGGGCGTATTCGACCCATTCTTCTTTGACGACGCCGGGGCCCAGCGACGAGAGACGAAAGGGGTGCATGGAAAGTCGAAATAGACGATCGGGCTGCAACAGCTACGGCGACCGATCGCTTAAGCTTGCTCCTACACGCACATGTGCGATACCGTGCATACAGAAGCAATAGCATCCTTCCAAGACCGTATGCATCAGATGAAGTATCGATAGCAGCAAGTGCGTCTGTTTGCCGGCTGTCGTGCTTTGTCTGCGATTACCAGTTCCAGTGAAACAGCGGGCAGCGCTACCAGACGGAAAGCAAAGATGTGAACGTTTAAGCTTTCTATTTCGCAGACCAGGAGAAGACAGAAACAGACAGGCGGATGGAGCGGAAAACACTTCAAGAAAATAAGACGAAGTATGTTGAAGCAAAGCTCGTTCAAACCACTATCCTTCGCACAGCACATGTCAAGAGTCTAGCCACAATTGACGGCATCGCCTGGAGCGGAAGTGCTTCAGGAATTTGGCGTAAGGGCTTACGGTGCTTGGTGCAAAGATTCAGGTTTGGAGTTTGCCTCGGGAAGGCCCAGCCAAGGCGTTCAGGCGAAAGATCAATGTTCAACATGCTCCAACACTCAAGCAAAGCAAGCAAAGGTTCCAACCGTTAATGCACCATTGCAAAACCTCGAGGGTTAACTCCAGCAGCTGCATAGATTGGATGGTTTGGTCCTAGAATCCCTGTACAGGAAGTCTGGGAAATCCTTCAAGGCATATATAAGTGAATTTTATTCCAGGCACTCGGACATTTCAGGAGAGTTTCAAGATCCAGGAAGCGGGACATGCAGGGCTGGTGTTTGGGCAGTCGCCTGCTAAAACGCAATGAGAGAATCAGGGGACACCTTGCACTGCACTTTTTCATCGCACATGTGGGACGCAAGGCACAAGCATAATTAGTCGGCAGCAGGTCGTGCTGCTGGTCTAGCCAAAGCTCTGTGAAGTTCGAAAAGATTCGTTCGACGTTGTTCGAAGCCATCAACAAGCCTCAGGAAAGCAGTCGACATTTTGGCAACAGATCAAAGGCACTACGAATCAAGAAAGACTTTGCCAGGCACGCTATGCGCCCAGCTAGGGTTCATGATGCCAGGCTGGATCATGGAGAGAAGGAACACGAGCTGCGCAAGGGCACGATGCTCACGATGTTTTGTCTGTAGCGGATCAGTTGCAATGTTGCAAGCTGAAATGTTGAAACTTTTGGCTGCCGACATGGTAATCCTTGCCTAATCAAGACATTCAAGACTGTCTTCACAGAATGGCAGACCTGGCACAAGAGGAACACGCTGAACTCCAAGAGCCGAAACCTGCAGCAGGCGATGCATCCCATGCACCCTCTCCACGCCGAGAAATGGCCTCGCATCGGCCCTTTTTTTTCGCTTCTTCTCCTGCACAAAAGGACGGCATTCATATTACTAAGACTCTAGGAGCCTACCAAGGCCAACGAGCTTACGGCGTCCTGGCCCTGCTGCATGAGGTCGTTCAAGGAGGGGATGACGTCCATGTTCACTTTGGCCGCCTTTGACAAACCCCAATGCGGAGAGGAGGTAGAGGCGAAGGCCCTAGGGCCTCGGAGTCATCGCCTCCCCGCTTCTTGCGAGCATTCTCCAACTCCTACGCAGCTATGTACTTCGCCCGAGTCACCCCTTCTTCTTCTTGCCCTTTCTTACCCTGACTCTGACTGGACCGGCTCTCCTTCTCCAGCTGCCGCTCATTGAAAGTGAAATCCTTGGTCAAGAAAGCTCGGCACCAGTCAGAAAAGAAATCTAACAAAAGCTGCGTTCTGATGCCAGGGGCGGGTCCTCCCATTTCTCTCCCTTCGGCCTCGCGCATTTACACGAAGTCAGAGGACGCTCAATATGCCTCTAAGCCTGCATTGCAACGTCTGCCTGTTCAAGTCCTCTTTGCTGAGCACAGTGCTAGCACCTGCCGTTTGCTTCCACTCAATGTCCGCAATGGACGTCTGCGGCATGTGACTCTTACTCAGGCTCTGGCGCACGAGCGTCAAGCAATAATTACGGCCTTCGGGGCATGCGGCTTTGTCTGTTTGCTTGCAACGTTGCTGATTGCATGCCCACGCGTTCAGATGTTCTCGTTCGTCTTCCTACATCCGCTTTTGATTCCGCAGAAAAGATGCTGTTTGAGTCCATTCGCTAGCAAACCTTAACGAAATTTGCTGGTCTGATCGGTTGACACTGCTTTCCGGTTTGCTCTTTTTCAACCGGCATCACATTTTCCTGCATGTGACCTGAAAATGCATTAACTGGACCTTGAAATTGATTGATGACAGTGTGCGAAACCCTGGCAGAGCCTTTGACCATCCAAAAGTCTCGTTCACGAGGGGCCTCACCTCGCCAATCTGCATGATGCCGCCATCCTTGTAACGTGAATTCGGCAAGGTCCAGCCTTCTTTACCCGGTGAGGCATCATCAACCTGAGATGAGCACGGGCGCATGAGGAGACAACTGCAAAGACGACTGGCCCAAGTTCCAAGCCACGGCCACAGAGCTCGAACTAGCAGAGTTCCTCCGGCACCGCATCGTCGCATCGTATGGTAGGGTGCAGGCCAGCCACGGACAGATGTGCAGCAAACCCGGTCTTGAAACTGGCTGATGCAGATTGAGATGGCGGCACCTGGGCGCCAGCATGCATCGAACACGCTAGCGTTTTGGAAGACATTGGGGCAACACAAACTGCTTGAATGGAAAGCAGAACCCGGTTCCATCTAATTCCCAAAATTTTTGGCAGATCAGATGAGCTACCGTCAACGGGTAGCAGGATCAAACAACGGCAGAAAAATGCAAGAAACGAGAACCACGAGGAGCAGCCACAACACAAAGCAAACGAGTGCCAAGTACCAAAACACATTCGCCTCATAAGCTCCTCAGAGTCTGATTGGTGCAGGTTTGAGAACATTGTGCGTCTGAATCGTTACAATTACAACAAGATCGTGGGTGTCTCAGCTGTGGACAGGAGGCAGAATGATGTCGACCAGGTCCATGTTGTCAAGCCTAGAGTATCAGAAAAAACGATACCTGAATCGAAAATCGATTCTTTCATCTGGGGCCAATGCACAATGCGCCCGTCTCCATCGAGGAAGAAAACCTTGTCGGGATCGAGGCCTGGCAAAATTGGAGATCTAAGCATTCTTCTGCAAGAGCACATTTGTCTTGCAGGCAGGGCGCCCCAGTATTTGGCAGCTTGCTTCCCGAGGCTTTCGACCTTCATCACGCTCGTCATAGCTCAAACCAAGCCTGGAATCGTGAAGTCGCCTTCTCGTTAAGATGAACAAGAAATTTAGCATCTCTGGATCCTGGCATGGCAGAGGGAAGATTCAACAGCACAGCTGTAATGGAACCCTGCCGCGCCTGCTCCCTCTCCATTTATGTGAAGATTGAAGCCGGTCGTTTCTGTGCCCGTGAGAAAATGTACATCGACCATCATCTGCTCATCCTGCCATCCAGTTCCCATCTTTTCCCAGGATGTCAGACACAACATGAGGGAAGCGGTGCACGTCGCTGTGGACTTCCTCGTTCTTGGGTCGTCTGCGCAAGAACCGATCGATAGTCTCTCTCGTAACCTCAGGTGTTGTGACCCAGCACTGCGAGTGTCTTCAAAAACCGGGTGTCCCACGCTTTGGATTCTAATTTTCTGGTCTGTGTCCAGTGTCACTCTTTGCTGCTGCCTCACACGACACGGATCGATCAAAGCCTGCATTGCAAATCGCTGCAAAGGAGAAAAGGCGGCCTCAGCTCATCGTACTGCTGCCTCTCCTCAGTGAACTCGTCGTTGCCTCCGGGAGTCTTCCATGCAGACACGGCGACGTGACCCCGCGCGCTCGGGTGGTATGTGACTTCAGGTGTGACCTGCGCTCAAGCTGGTACGGCTACCGTTGGCTAACTCTTCGACTAGATCGCTTGGAGCACTTTCTGCTGTGTCGACAGAGGTGGCATCTGTCGGCAACGACAACCTGAAGAGAATGATCCAATTAAGACAAACAGACCGACAAACGCGGAAAGGTGCGCGTGCCCTGCACAGACCAAAGTGTGCTCCAACCACGCTTGGTTGCGATTGCTGCTCATTCAGAGCCTCCTCACTCCTACTGGTCCTACTGCACGTAAGTGATCTTGCCACCCCTGCTACGCTCATGACAAGAGACGGCCATCACAGGTGTGGGGCAAGGCAAGCAGCAGTCATGCAAACAAAGGCTAAGACTAAGAGTCGGACAATCCTTCAATTTGTTCTGGAGTTCGAGCATCTCCAGTTCCTCCTGTCATGCTCCGAAAACTGTGCCTGTCACCGCAGTACGCACTTCCTTCGGCCGAGCTCGATGCACGACCAAGACATGCATGCATATGCATGCGTTGGACGTCCTTCTGGAGCAACTTATTGAGATCCACCTGCTTGTCAGACCAAGCAATCAGACCGAGCGTGTTGTGCGCAACCATCTCTGATCAGGAATGCAGTCGGTTGAACAGCGCCTCCTCCTTTTTCATCTTTCTCTGCAAATCCTGCGCGTCAAAACCGACAACTGCTCCAACAAACGTCATTTTGCGGGAACATGACATCTCTAGCTTCTCCAGAAGCTTTGTCCTGCAAGTGGTCTGACTTTGTAATTCTTTCCAATGGCTTGCCTGTCTCGTCGAATCCCTCGACCTGGCACGAAGCGCTTCGCAAACACTGACTGAATTGCTGAAGACAATATGGACTTCGCATCCAGAAGATTCTGTCAATGAGAAGCCTGGGCTGTTTGCATGCAGAGCCTTGTGTAGCTGTCATAAACAGACAGGATCATTCCCCTAGGACAAGGGTGCTGGGAGTTTGTAGAACTTGAAAAGCTGGCACTTCACCTTACCACCTTAAGAAGTCCCTAAACCTTCACAAAATGTTCCAAACAGGTCTGCGTTGCCCATTCCTTGATTCCTTCATTTTCGGCCATGTCTGCGCGAGGGGCACCCCTCCAATGCCGATAAAGAATGTGCTTCCGACTTCGGCCCTTTCCGCCATGAAGTCTCGAAAAATCCTCAAACTCTCGTGGCGATGTAGACATGTCAAGTGCCTTGAGTCTGAATTCTTGCATACAGTCTTGGGCAGGCTACGGCCGGCGGAGTCTCAATTGCAATTCTGGCCATGCAAGCACAAGCTTACTGCCGATGCCCTTCGGCAGGGCCGCAACGGCGAAAGGGCGAAAACAAGAGGACAGGACGCAAGGACGTCTGCCTGTAGATGATGAGTATTCCAACTAAGATATCCCAGCGAAGCTTCCACCTCGGCTCGGACTCAGAGTTTCCGCATACGAGCAAAGACAAAACAAAGGCTTTGAGGGCTTTGAGACTTTCAGAGGCGCGCCGATAATCGGGCGGAACAATGTACCGTTGCAGCAGGCAGGCCTTTAACACACGCAAGCCTAGGCCTATGCATTTCTCAACTTCTTCCTTTCGTGTCAAGCTCACCTCCGTCTCTTCGACCGACTCGACTGCCCCAGTGTTGGGGTCCATCCTGCACTGCCGTGTCTACAGCATTCTACAGCGGCATGTCTCTCTCTGCGTGCTAGTGTTTATTGGTAGAGCATCTCGCCGCCGCCTTCTCGTCGAAAGCAGGACAGGATGTGAGGAGCTTCTGGACGTTTTGGTGCCTCCGATCGGAGATGTTATGATCCTTACGGGATGCCGAGCGCACCACCGCCTGCAGACGACAAACTCCCCAAAGTCTTCGTCGTGTCGATCCTGGCTCGGGCCTGGCGCATATTCGGAGACCAACAGGACCAACACCAATTTTGTCACAGTCTCATGCACGACCGCAGGTTGATGTCGGCACTTGACGAGAACGCAGCAAAACCTAGCTGGATGGACACCAGCACGTGGAGAAGGACTCGGACTCGATGGAGACGATGTTGGATCAAGCGAGCCTTGCAATATCTTGCAATTCTCAAATACTGGAGAAACGAAAAAGAATCGTCACACAGCCTAGCTGCAGATGGAGCAAGCCAAATTGTGCTTGACCGCTGAAAGGCTTGGAATGCGGTAACCGACACACAAAAACTCCGAGGAAACAATCAAGCGAAGCGCCAGAAACGCGGCACCGCTGGGGCTTTGGCGAATCTTTCGCGGACTGGGCTCGGAGGTGTCGTCTCTCGTATCCCTGGCACAAGTGCATCAGCTTGGCCTGCTTATTGCCAAAGACGAAACCTTTCTTATGAGACTCCATGGCCATCCAATTACCCTTAGCGATGCGAGTTCCAGGCCCTGCAGAGCCCCCCACCCACTGGGTACTCGCAGGAGAGCTGCCCTTGCAAACGCAGACGGCACGTCAAAATCTCGCTGGGCATGGTCTTGTTTTCTCACCAAGACACGGAATCGGAGTCGCCCGATCCGTACTGAGCACAACAGGAGGCAGGTCGTCTGCACTGCTGGCGACCTTAAGACAGGTCTCACTCATCGCCAAACGAAAGCTTCTGCTCATCCTTCCTTTGAAGCGCGGGTGTGCTGGACTGCTCGATGTGTGCATTCAAGATTGTCCTCTCTTCTGCAGTCTGTCCAACTTATTTGCTTGCCGCAGCCGGCTGCTGACCGCTGACTCTGCGGACGCATTGCCCAACACTTACTTGGTTTTCTATACTGCAGAACCCACATGTCTGAGTGCACGACGCCGTGAATCAAAACCAGAGACTGGCAACAGGATATCGGACACATCAGACTGTGAGGAACTGTACGGTGCTGACACTCTCGAACACAAAATTGTTGCGCACCAACCGCACTAAGTACATACAACACGTGGACAGATAAAAAAGTCGCAGAACTAGCTGCATGGAGCCTTCGCTTCACGCTCATCGCAGTGACTCACTCTCAATTCGGACCCGAGCACCTGCCAGAGCTGATGCAACAAAGTTTGCCAACCTGCGCAACGAACTGCGAACAAACGACAATATTGTGCCTTTACCATCTCGTGTTTCAGCTTCTCCTGGGGCAAACAACCGGTGGTTCACTTGGAATAGGGCGGGCATGTATGGGCAGTGTCAACTCCAAATTCATGATCACACGACTAGTTTCTTTAATGCAATGAGAACACGATGTGCAGGGCCATATCGTTTTTCCTTTTCCGCGATTGGTGCACATCGGTTCGTCCGATCCAGGCCCACATGGTGCTGCAAGCCGGGGCGTGGAGCTGTCGGGTCAGCCGGGGACACAACACCCAAGCCGACAGCGAACGGCCCCGGAGGTTCCGGCCGCAGAGGCTCAGCTCCCCAACTTTTTGGAAATTGGCCCACTCAACGCGCTCACAGACTTCCCAGTCGTTCCCCTTGTCACCCCGCGAACGCCCCAGCCCAGCCGTCCCCGTCCATGGTCTCAGTTCCTTACTTGAATGTTTGGGGTGTTGCTTAATGGTTGCATAGCTTACTAAACCACATGTATCCCATATCTAGTGTGCATGTAACATATACTTGAGTGGTTAAAAAAAGGTATCCCCTACAGGGATTCGTTTATTCTTCAGAAATTGCAACTCTTACTATCTGTTTGCACAAACGGTTATTGTAATTTTCCTTACACTTTTAGCTTGGAAAAGCACTCTCGGAAAACGCTATCTTGCTGCAGTCGTTTTCTTGTTTTGTGATTTCAGGAATTGCAGTTATTTCCTTGCTGTTCCCTTTTTTGCTTGTGTGAACTGATAGGTTTGTGGAATCACGGTTGCATGTTTTGCGGTTGCATTAGCCGACATCTGGCTGCATGTTGCATGACATGGTATGTTTTGGCTGCCTGTGTCTTTGCTTTCTAGCCTGCGGCCTGCATGGTTCGCATGATACATGGGAGCCATTTGGGCTGCATGATTGCTTGATTGTTCTTTAGCCTGCAGGGCTACATGAGATCGATATTTGAGCCCATGTGGACTGCACGGCTTGCATATACATGCAAGCCATGTTGGCTGCATGATTGCTTGATTGTTCTTTAAAGGCTACATGAGATTGATATTCGAGCCCATGTGGGCTGCATAGTGGAGCCCACGGGCTGCATGCACATATGATGTGCTGCTTAGATATGAATTCTGAATGGTGCATGCAATGTTTGGTTGGAAAGCAGTTCAGATAGCAAGCCGTATATACACTTGCGGCGATGCACACCAGCTTCTTCAAGTCTTCAAGAGTTTGTAACCGATGTTCACCATGTTCAGGCGCGTACACACTCACACACACACACACATGCGTGACCGCACACGTACCCCTCAAAAGCCCCAGACTTCAGTAAGCAACGTAACGGCATCGTCGAAATGAGGCTGAAGTAGCTGCTTCCAACTAACCCAGCACAGAAGCTTCAAAGCGCAAACCTTAAACCCGAACTCAAGCTGCTACCTCTTGCAAACGACTACACATCGATACCAAACTGAAACCCTAAACCTTGACGAAAACCCGGAAAAGCTTCTAACCTTTCAGGGCATTTCGCAAGAGTGCATCCTGAGCGCACAGCAGGGGCAAACCATCCCAGCCGAACCCGAGAGCGAAGGGCGGCGAGAACCCCAAAATTAAACCTCTTCGGAGAGAACTGCACTCCTTTCCTGATGATCCGCAAAAACATCTCAAGGTCTATCTGACACCCGCTTTGACTTTGCGAGCTCACTCGTCTCCTAGGCAACAGCCCAGACTCTGATGGAGAGATCATCGAACTGCCATCGAAAAACATACACAGACACAACATCATCAGAAATCTGCATCGACACATCGCTGGATGGCAACAAACCCCTATGTCATACATATTGCCAGCCAAGAACTTGGCCCAGAGATCCTTGCCAAGCCCTCAGACCTTCTTCCAGGTCACATGGCATGTGCCGCTCTGCACACGAGCCCTTCTTTCACGAGCGGGAGACAAGGAAACCAACGAACGTATGAGCAGCAGGTGCCGGCGCCGTGCCGGGAATTAGACTATCTCAGCGATCATGTTGCTGTTGGCCAAGTTTCTCGAAACTTGGAAATCCTGAAAATCCGTCCTATTCGTCGCAAGCCACAAACATCTAAAACCCAATTGCACTTTGCTCCTCGTTGGTCTCTGCACGAGCGAAAGCACCTGGAAATCGAAGTTGAACGTCTGCTAGAGCATCCTTCAAAGGCCCAATGTCGCAAGCTGCCGACAGCTGCTACATGTGTCCAAGTCCTTGTTGATGGTCAGCACATCCGTGCGACTGCTAAAGCCGCGGACCTTGCAAGTAGCTGCAGCGAGGTGGGACAAGTAGAAATGTGGAGAGGAAAGGGCTGTGGGAGCAAAACGGTTCGAGTTGATCAGCTGACACGGTCACTGATGTCCAGTCCAGGTGCCAGAACAGGAAGGGCTGCGATCTGACCAACAACGTCTGTGCTTTGATAAATCCCACAAAGGACCTGAATACGGCATATTCGTCACAGCTCGCTCCAGAGCGAAGAAGCTGCGAAGCTGCACTCTGGCCTCAGAAGAAGGTCGCATCAGGGCACCATCCTGGCCGTGGCTCCGTCTGAAGCGTACTCGTCAAAACATTCAAGCCTCCCCAGCCTCAAATTCCTGCTCCATCAAGACTTCACCCAGCGCACTCCGCTTTAAGCACTGCTGAACCTGATACTGATTCAGAGACGCACAAAAGGAGGTGCCCTGGACGGCGGCACAGGTCGCTTTTGGCCCCCCTGCCCATGTCTTCAGCTGCGCAATGTCTTGGCGATCGCCATCACACACTGCCTGGAAGTGCAGACACGCAATAAACGACTCGAAGAGCACGCAGCACCCAGAGATCCTCCAGGCAGCCATGATTCACGACATAGACCTGCCAGAAGTGCAATGCGCAGTGTACGACGTGCTGGAGGATTGCCTCTGCTGTGACTTCTCCCTCTTCAATGATCACCTCATTCTGCAAGACCTCCAGGAGATGGATGCAGTTGAAGCCGACAAGCTTTGTAACTGAGGCGAGAGCATGTTGAGGCATCATCATCTGGACAAGCTCTATCCTGAATGCCAAGTCCTGACGCAGAAACGGCGGATTGCATCCCTCCAGGAGAAAGGAGGAACGTCTCAACATCTCATTTCCATCGGGACCCAGAGATGACGAGTCGCCGAATGCCTTTGCCTCAGCCATCGGCTGAGCCCTTAAAGTCGAAGCCGAGCCTTTGCTAGGGTGAAGCGGTAAAGCTCAGTTCCTAAGCGAGCTTCCGCGAAATCTGCCCGATGCGTTTCAACCAAGAGCTAGCGGCTACCAGCTCAAACAGCCAAGGTTTTAAACGCCGTACATGTGACGCGCTTGCAACTAGCTGCACCACAAGAGGCTCCGGAGCGAGGAAACTGTCCTCCTCATGGAATGGTCTCTCCAGAGTACGCAGCCACTCAGAGTATGAGTTCTGGATAATGTCCATCCTGAACAACATTGGAAAGACACCCGTGCAAAGTTTTGGACCTGGAGCGACTCACAACCACGCCTGATGCTCATGGGCATGTTGCCGAGAATGTCCGCCTGGAGTTCGTCGGACATGTGTCACCCTTTGCTTCGTGCGTGTCCACGCAAGCATCGCGACTATGCACACACACACACTCTCTGCTCGGAAAGTCTCCTCATTGAAGATGGACTTCTTGTGAAGCACGTACTGGGTGTGTTCTCGAATGGCTGCCCTGGGCAAGCTCTTCTGTCAACCGTGGCGGCAACAACTCCAACGGCATCAACAAAAACAATAAATGCAACAACCGCAACAATCACAACAATCACAACCCGTCGTCGTCTCGCGGCTGTCGTGGTGGAAGGGCGGTGGAGGTAGAGGTGGAGGTGGAGGTGGAGGTCGATTCGGTGGTGGTGGTCGCGTAGCAAAGACACCGGTCGTGCGGGAAGTAGCAGCTGTCTCGTAACTGCCTGCATAGTCTCAATACACGTGCATTCGTGCAGCCGCCTCAAATGGCGAGGCATTCTTCGACCCGTGCACCACTCCTGGTGCAGTGCTTAGACAGGAAGATACCGCCGCGAAGGATGGTTCTGGGCCTTGATTTCATTCAGGCGCTTGTTGGTCTCGTTGGAACGAGGGTTCGCCGACTCCAGCAGAGACGTGACCTGGCGGCTTGAGAGAGTCAGAGAGCCAGAGCTAGACCCCTACAGCACAGCTAGAACAGGCCGCAGCTTTCGAGGCTACGGCCGAGGAGAGGATGAAGCCGAAGGCCGTGGCGCCGAAGAGCTGAAGGACGATGCAGAAGAGCCGCTCGTCCTCTCAGACACAGAGCAGTAGGACAACGCGCGCATGCAGAGTGCTGCCCTGGTGGACAAAGCTCTAAACCCTGCCGGGAGGACTGTGTTCTTCGCCCAGATATCACCGTATCCGACTGCCATCATGGTGGCAGTGATGAAGTGAAAGGAGGCGATGTACCTCTGTGCGATACTTTTGGAAGGAATCCATGAAATCTCTGCATGTTGCACTTGGAGACCAAGCCAAACTGATCCACGTTGTAGACCCTGTGCACAAACCAGTCTCAACAGTTGCAATCCAGAGCTCAAGCTCTTCCTCCACAGAACCAAAAAGCAATGCTGCTGAATGTCCTTAGGATTTGCTGCCGCAAAGCGAAGCGAAACTTGTGGGCGCGTGCTTATCAAAATCCCATGAAAAACTGTATCTCTGCAACTGCACTTGAAGCAGACCAACCGAGAGCGGCAACGCATGGGCATATTTTTGCCTTCTGCAGAAGTCTCGCGAGCTAAGCTGAGCATTTGCCATGTTCAGACCCTCTAGACCTGCCGGCTGAGCATCCAGTTTGGATACGCTTCGGCAGTTCCAAATTGACACTAAGCCCTACGCTTGATGGCGATTTTGACAAAGCAGTGGTTCAACCCTGCTCTTCTCGGCACACCAGCGGCCCTGTGCAACACCTCTGTTGCACTCAGCACACTAGTAGACGGACTCTGCCCTTTCAAGCCTCGGTAGCTGTGATCACCTTGTGCTTCATAGAGGACATCTGTGAAACTGAAAACCCATGAACCATGTTAGAGTATGCATAGTCCTTGTCAAGGGCGTCTGGTATTTGTCATTGTCAAAGCCCAACATGCCCAGCCCCAAGTTGGATCGCTTCAGACCGCTTGCATCTCTAGACTCCAGAGGACACGGCTCAAACTGTCGTATTTCTACACAGGAAGACCCAATGATCACGTCTGCATGTCAGGTAAGTAACATAGCAGCTTAGCTCCTGAAAAACATGAGCTGCCGAGGAAGTTGTGAAACACGAAATCAATCTGTCAACCAGCCTCACCAAGTCGCAAAGGAGCCAAGTCCTCTGCGAGGTGTTTTACTTTTTACGTTGCGGCTCACGATCAACACTTCCGCGCAGACCCGACAGTCCTCCTTTGTGGCAAACTTGACGATCAGTTGATCCAAGAAAGCCGCGTTGGAGAGTACGCAGCCTGTGGTAAGGCTGGATGGAGGCGCTCAAGGAAACTGAAGTGCTCCGCCTCGCTTTTCCGCTGCCAGCTTCACGGCATCCTGCAAACACCCCGCGGCAGTAAGTTGGGCAGCCGTCCGTAAACCCCAGTCCGCCTTCAAGGACATACCCATGGCACCAGCAAGGAATGCTACAGCTGCCTCGAGTGTCACAAAGATCGGATTCGGAATGACAGAGTTCAAGCTGTGGCCCAAGCGTGTTCGTGTTCAAAACAAAATCAATACAAGAACATTTCTCGCAGAATGAGCTAGGCTATATGAGCACGGCCACCCAAACAGATCGATTGATGCCCATGATGCAGTGCACGAGGACCTTGCCGACGCATGTGCCAAAAACAGCAAAGGCGTCCGAGAAGGTCCCAGGTCGGCCTTCCGTCCCTCTCGCCTGCACTCGGTGAGAAAGTCCAGGATCTGTCAACAAGCCATCACAAGGCGGCTGAGAGATTCAACTCCGGGACACAAGGACAGATACAGAAAGAAACCCGCAGATGCTTTTAGGTTACCCGCTACGGACAGAAGGCAAGCTGTACCAAGGCTACTGGCACATACTGGCACAACACAGATATTCACGGCTGGTCAGAAGTCTAAGTGAGCTTGTTGAACAAACATGCTCACCAAGTACTCGCTCAGCTTTTCTCCCAGCGACAGCTGCAAATGCAAAGTCCATCGCACATCGACAACTCACGGTGCAGAATAGTCAAAGGGGCTCGCTATTCGCATAGCCGCTGCCACGTCTCTCCATTGTCAAGTCATAGACATACTGCAAACGGGACGATCCAAAGGCCACTTTGGCCGTCCTGGTCAGGGACAGCAGTTTGTGCCAGATGCTAACCAAGCAAAGCCTTCAATCCCAAGTTCTTATTTGTTTGACAAGTCATGATAAGCATTGTGTTGGAAGCGCGCGGCGAGCACCTGAACGGGTAGGTGTACGGCCGTTTGCTATCCAGAGTGCGGGCGTAGATAAGCGATCCGCGAGTCCGACAATCGATTCCATCTACAATCACCTTGGCATCAAATTTGATACTGCCTGCAAGCTTTATGCACAGGACGACATCTGAACCCAAACACAGCTCCGAAAATCAGGGGCTTGGCGGATTCTCGGAGCGGCTCCGATTCGTCGGTGAGCTTGCTGCAGTTTGCCCCGCTGAGTTTCAATCGATGGAGCAGCATGCCTCAGGCTGGCATCTCCGCAGCAACTCAACGTCTCCAACATTAGAACGAGACAACCGGCTGTCCAAAGTATCTCCGGCGGGCGGGCGGGCGAGCGGACGTGTCCGCGTGTCTGCGTGTCTGCGCGTCTGCGCGTCTGCACGTCTGCGTGTCTGCGTGTCTCCGTGTCTGCGTGTCTGCGTGTCTGCGTGTCTGTGCGTCTGTGCGTCTGTGTGTCTGAGTGTCTGAGTGTCTGAGTGTCTGTGTGTCCGTGTGTCTGTGTGTCTGTGTGTCTGTGTGTCTGTGTGTCTGTGTGTCTGTGTGGCTGTGTGGCTGTGTGTGTGTGTGTCTGTGTGTCTGTGTGTCCGTGTGTCTGTGTGTCTGTGTGTCTGTGTGTCTGTGTGTCTGTGTGTCTGTGTGTCTGTGTGTCTGTGTGGCGTTGTGGTTGTGTGTGGCTGTGTGTGTCTGTGTGTCTGTGTGTCTGTGTGTCTGTGTGTCTGTGTGTCTGTGTCTCTGTGTCTCTGTGTCTCTGTGTCTCCGTGTCTCTGTGTCTCCGTGTCTCTGTGTCTCTGTGTCTCTGTGTCTCTGTGCCTCTGTGTCTGTGTGTCCGTGTGTCCGTGTGTCTCTGTGTCTCTGTGTCTCTGTGTCTGCATCTGTGTCTCTGCGTTCCTTAGAAGTAGGGTGGGAACAGAGTGACACTCCTACCATTTACGTCTTCCTTCAACATTGAAACAGGAGCAGCGGGACAGCAACCCACAGTCACCTGTCCTGGCCAACGAAGACCAAACGATGCCCTGAGCCAGCAAGACTAGAAGGCCCCTGTGCAACAGTTGATTTTGCAACAACCGTTGTCGGTCGGATGTTTCAACAAGCATTACATCATGCCACATTCTTCTTTTCTCCTGACCTCTTTTCTCTTAGCCGAATCCATCAGTGTGCGTGCGGGCGTGTGTGTGTGTGTAGGGGGGTACGAGAATCTAATGAAAGGCAAGTTACTGAAGCCCCATGACGTGGCGCCTTGCACAGGCTCCACAAGTGTTGCCTCCAAATACTTGATGACGGAAGTTCTTCTTTCAGCTTGATCTGCAGCACCGTGGTAGAAAGAGACAGGGCGCCCTGTGGCTTCCTCAAGCTGTCACAGGACACAACCACGTGACCTCGTTATCTCCGGTCGCTATGGCCGCTATGACCGCCATGACTTGAGATCCCTGATTCATTTCATTCAATATTCAATATTCCAAGGGCCCAGAAAGGGCAACTGCTGATTCGAGGATCTTCCACGACAGCAGCGAACCACTCACCAGGCTCCCATCCTTTGTCGTGCTACAAGGTTCGGCAGACATCACACAGTCGACACTCAAGACGAGGGCGAAAGCTCAACAGATCGTGCTGCGACACGGAAGATTCGAGACACGCAAACGTGCATCCAGAATACTGCAGTCTGGGACTGGTGGCTCGCCAACTCTTCCGGCAAATATCCGCGAAGTCAGGGCATAAGCACGAAACCTGTTCGCTGCAAATCACTGGATACCGCAACGCCTTGTCCAAGAACCCTGCACGCACACACACTGATGGATTCGGCCAAGAGTACGAGTGCAAGAGGAAAAAGAGAGGCATGTTGTTGTTGTTGTTGCAAAAGCTTGTCAGATTGCGGCAACCGTACAAATTGTTTGTCTAATCTGGACACCACAGGGGGCCTGTCCTCAAACTAATCTTGGCACCACAGGGGGCTGCCGAAAATTGTGCAGGTACATGACTGAGCGTCCTCAATCACTTCCCTTCCAGTGACCTAGCTTCGTTGGATCAGGTCAGTCACTGGAAGCCTGATCCCCCTGCAACAGTTGATTTGGTAAATGTCCAATGTCTGATTATGTTGAAAAGCAAAAATTGCAAACAGTGTAGGAGTGACCCTCTGCTCCCATGTGCTAGGGAGGTTCACACACACACAGCCCCAAATGGGGCGTACATGCTTCAAGTAGAGTGAAAGGTCTGATGCACGGCAATAGGAGTGAATGGCGCACTTTTCTCGCTGTCAATAGCGATCGGGTGATTGTCGTATTTCCTGATCCGAACAGGTTCTAACAAAAAGCACCGGCATCAACGTGGCTAATGTGGTGACTGAATCCCAATCGTGTAGTCGTCGTCGGTTTTGTTCGAAGAAGAAAGCTGGGATTTCAGGAGTTCTGCCGGTGATCTCCTTGATGCGGTAGGAGAAGATCTTGCGTGCTTGGAGAACGTTGTCGCCCAGACAAAGCACCACGTGTAAGAACATGTGCTTGTCTCTGGTGATGCGGTCGGGTGGAATTTCAACAGTCATCCGAAAACATTGTCCTGCCATGGAGTACCATGGAAGGCCGCCTCGGCAGCCTTTCGCTTTGTCATATTTTTGCTGCTACCAACCGACAAAAGCTTGAACAAGGAATGCAAATCAACATGGACATGATGTGTGCTCTGGCAAAACAACAAAGCGGTGTCGTCCTGACACTCGCATGCGCAGGCTTTTTTGTCACGCTTAGCGGATCTTGCAGCCCTAATCCGTCCTGAGAATTAGGGTCCAACAGCGAGTCTGTTGGGACAGTCACTCATGATCTTGAAATGGCAGCGACACCTGAATCCTGCACGTACCAGCATTTTTGCACAAGCGGTTTTGGACCGCTTGTGCTGAATAGTAGGATGCACAATATCGTAAGGTGCAATCGAGTCAGAAGACCAAGGATCTCGAGATGGGGACCGGTGTGGGTCCTCAGCCAGGTGTGACGTTGCCGTAGGTGACGCTGATGATGTTGAATGCGAAGAGCGTATCCTCTTTCGTCTTGTAGTATGTGGATGTTGGCGTCGTTGTTGTGTTGTGGATTTGGATGGTGGTGAGATGTTG